ATGTGGCTCCAGCATTCTTTTGACCGAAAGGCATAACTTTATAACAGTAAGTCCCCCTGTATGTAATAAAGGAAGTTTTTTCCTCATCTAAAGGGTCCATTTTTATTTGATTATATCCTGAGTAGGCATCTAAAAAACTCAACAATTCATGTCCTGCAGTAGCATCAATTAGTTGATCTATGTGTGGTAAAGGAAAAGAATCTTTAGGGCAAGCTTTATTTAAGTCAGTATAGTCCACACAAACTCGCCACTTACCATTCTTTTTGGGTACCACTACAGTATTAGCAAGCCAATTAGGATATTTTACCTCTCGGATAGACCCGATTTTTAAAAGTTTTTGTACCTCATCCTGAATCACTTGTTTTTTGAAGGATCCTTGCTTCCTTTTCTTCTGTTTGACAGACGGGTGTGTTGGGTCTTCATTCAGCTTATAGGTCATCACCTTCGGGGGTATACCTGTCATATCTGAATGCGACCAAGCAAAGCAATCTGCATTAGCTTTTAAAAATTCAATTAACTTACCTTTCATCTCTGGGCTCAGGTTTGTTCCAATGTAAACTTTTCTGTCCGGCCAATGAATAAACAACACCACAGCTCCGAGTTCCTCAATTGTTGTTTTAATGTTTTCGTTCTCTTCTGGCTCTTGAATAGTGTCAGGCTTGAGTCTACATCCATTTGTCCATCTCCAGTTGAGGTTTGAGTTGTTAAACCCTCAACTGAATTCTATAATTGCTATTTTTCATTTATAACGTCATTTTGTACGCTTGAATTCGCCACTGAATTGATACTCCTAGAAGCCTTTTGATCACCACGAATCTGTCTAATTCCCTACTATGAAGGGAACTTAATAACCTGATGCAAAGTAGACGGTACAACATCCATTTCGTGAATCCAGGGTCTGCCGAGAATCATATTGTATGCCATGTCCTTATCTATTAATTGAAATTTTGTATCTTTGACTACTCCTTCTGCGAGTGTGGTGAGTATTATCTCCCTTTTTGTAACAATGCTGGTATTGTCAAATCGAGATAAGGTACGTGCTTTGGGTACCAATTTGTCATCAGCTTGCATTTTGTCTACCACTCTTAAAAGAATGATATTTACAAAGCTACCTGGATCATCAAAACTCGTTTCACATTAGTATCATGTACAAGTAAAGATATTACCAGTGCATCATTGTGTGGGATCAGCACGTCATCCGCATCTGCATCGTCAAATGTTATACTATCTTCTTACAAAACTTGGCGAACTCGCTTTCCATGGGTGACTGTGATTTTTGACACCTTTTTTGCTATTGTATATCTCACACCATTAACCTCTTCCCCTCCGCTTATGACATTAACCGTTCTTTTTGGTGACGGAGGTTTTGGCGGCTGCTGTCTATTCTTCATATATGCTTGCTTACCCTTCTCACTAAATAAATCGGTAAAGTAACCTTGTTTTAGTAAGTGCTCTACTTCACCTTGTAGCAATCTGCAATCTGCTGTTTTATGACCATGATCATTATGAAACTCGCACCAGAAATCTAGGTTTCTTCTGTTGGGGTTCGATCTCATTTCTTTTGGCCACCGCACCTTATCTCCCATGCTTCTTAAAACAGCTACCAACTCGGATGTACTAACATTGAAACTGTAAGCACCAATCTTCGCTTTTGTATTTTTGTCGCTACCTCGTGTGTTCCGCTCCTTTTTGAATTTGGACAACGATCCTGGGTCTCCGTCCCTTGATCTGGAACCGTACCTCGGGTTTTCTTGTTTAGAATGTGAATCCCTTCCTGCTGGTCCCATGTAAGGCTTGTACATGTTCTTACCGGACCTTTTTTCAATTTCTGGTCGCCTTGAACTTACTCTTTCAATCTCCCCGTGACTGGGTGATGGTATCTTCTTCTATCCGCAGCTTCGTACTATACTTGTTGTAAACATCATTCCAAGTTGTTGCAGGGTATTCTCGTAAGCTTTCTTTGAGTCTCCTCGTGGCTTCTGAGCTTTTTTCATTTAGGTTACTTGCAAATGCCATAGCAGCCCAATTGTCAGGTACGCGTGGTAACATCATTCTTTCACGCTGGAATCTATCTATAAATTCCCTGAGCAGCTCCGTATCTTCTTGTTTTATCTTGAAGATGTCTTCCATCCGCTTTTCAACTTTTTGAGCTCCCGAGTGTGCTTTTATAAATGAATCTGCAAGCTCAGCAAAAGAATCAATAGAATTTTCGGGTAAAAAATAATACCATGTTAGTGCTCCCTTTGTGAGTGTTTCACCAAATTTTTGACCAGCACTGACTCAATCTCTTACTTAGTCAAGTCGTTGCCTTTCACGCAGTTGTAAATGCAGTTACATGATCTCGTGGATTGATTGTCCCATCATACTTCAGATATCGGGCATCTTAAACTTTTTTGGAATTGGCAAAGGAGAGGCACTTGGCTTCCAGGGTTATTGAGAATATTTATCAATATCTGCCCCTTTGATTACAAGTGGAACACCAGGTATCTGCTCTATGCGATCATTCTGCTCCTTGAGCTGTTTCTCCAAAGTTAGTACTAAACATTGTAAACTAGAATTAACCGGAATACCTGACCTTCCATTGCGAGATTCGCTGGGAGTTCCTCCACTGCCCGAATTGGTGAGTCCAGAGCGTAGATTTTCTATGGTTGCGGTGTTATTCGGATGTGGAGTTAATGGTATAGTCGGCAACCCACTAACAAAAGCTTGAAGAGCATTGTTGACCTGTTCTGCAATTAGTTGCTTCAATGCTTCATCAATAGCTTGATCATCCCCTTGTTGGTCATTCGCATGTGATGCTGATCTGTCAGGTGACCCTTCTCGGGACTTCTGAGGAGAGTTTCAGGGTGAAGGGACTGGAGTTCCATCCCCTTGTTGATTCTGCTGGTTCAACTGGTTTTGCTGATTTTGTTGGTTGTTGTCGTTAGCAGTCGACATGATATATATTTTTTTGACAGAGAAAAGAATTTGGAAAGCGAAAGATTATCAGATTCCCGATAAAGGAATCAATTTGTTTAATCAAAAATTGAGTAATTCGGTCAAAGCTTATTTTAAGAAGTACTCGGGCTACTGATAATCAAGAAATTCTATATTTACTTAATGACAAGAAAGGAAATTAAAGTATAAAGTAGCAAAATAGCCGATAGTAAGTAAAAGAAAGTAATTGTATTGCAATAGTAATCAGAACGTGTCTATACAAATGATATCTCTTTCCCTTTGAATCTACAAGTATTACGTTTTTCCCCTTTTATGACCAAATCCTTATGAGCATTAATGAGACGTTATAATTGGTAATTGTAACTGTTTGTGAAGATTCTGTAACGTCCGAGCTCATTCATACTCATTAATCGATGATACATGAATCTTTCCTTTTTAATGTCTTGATTCATTCCATCGGTACCTGTTCAGGTAATCGTTTAAACTTGAGGGACCTTGTCTTCTCTTCTCGCGGGTGTTTTGCTCGTATCTATTACGACTCGTGCCTCTTTTAATGCATCTTTACAATTGTCGCTTTCTTACTGATCCACGTGTCTTGTCATATCAACCACTAACATAAATCCATGTGTAATATTTATTTTTACCAATACACAAACATCAAAACTCAGAATTACAGAAGATCAATTCGGCTCATAAATTGAAGATTATTTTAGAATTACAACAAACACTAAAACCCAAACATTACCAAAATAAGGGGAATTCAAATAGGGAAAGTCAAGTAAAGGACAAAAGAGAACCCGTAGAGAAACTGAAAAAGCTTCACAAAACCAGAATAATATATTCACATCCTATCTCCGCAGATAAAGCATCCACGAAAGTCGCGCCCATTAGCCAAACAGTACTGGACGTACTCTATTTTTTAAAAGACGAAATTACCCTTAATGTTGCACTATCTAGATGCATATATTTTCTCTTAAATTTTTCCATTACATTGCGATACCAAGGAAGCGAATTTTTCATCGCAATTTTTTTTTGGATATATGTTAGTTTTGACTCTTGCAGAAATGCATGATAAAATTGTATAAAATACAGTGGCGTACGCAAATTTTTTGTAATCGGTATCACATTTTTATGATAGGTAAAAAAAATGAATAAATTACTATAATAATATCATAATACAAAAAACACAATTCAAAATATTACTACAGCCCTCTACGATGAGTTTTTATTTTTTAAATGTTTCCATAATAGGCTTATAAATATGTCTTTTCCAGAATGGTTTGATAGTATCTGCTGTCAATTCAACCAAGAAAAGGATGCCAGCTCAAATGAATTTTTGTTGCTTCTTAATTTTGTTATAGGTCGGTGGTTCAAGCCTCACTAATGCATCATTATAGTTTAGTAAGTAAAGTTTCAGAAATTATAAAAAATTTACACCTGCCATTCGGATTTGAACTCCCGACCTTGAATAGAGAACTGTTGCGGTGTCACTTATACATGTTTATAAAAGTAATTTCTTTTTGCTTAAATCTGTATACACGCATATAGTAAAACTTTCTGCTAAGCGATGTCACGTGACATCGCTTCGGACAAGGTAGTTTCGCTTCTGGTACATAAACCCTTATGGTCCGACTTTTTTCGGACCCCACGCATAGCAGGAATTTAGTGTACCGAATTGTCCTTTTTTACGTTAAGTTTTAAATTTTTGAATTTTTTTTATGTAGCAGAAAATAAAGTCAAAAAATTACTGTAAAAGAGAGTCGAACCAATACTTAAATGTTTAAATTTAACTAAATACATTTTTCTTTAGTTTCCTTCGTTTTCATCTATTTGGAAACGCTCCACCTCTTTCTAAAAATAGAAAACAGGGAGGAAAACTTGGATCTACTAACAGTTTGCCTAGAAAATCCAGACAGATTTAGTAACTGAAAAGCATCCATATTTTTATTTAAATACATGGTTTCTTTTCGAATTTTAAAAAATTTATAGATCATACTATCAGAGTCCTCTTTAGTCTTTACACTCCCTTTCTCTGTAGAAACTACTATTAATGTAATGGAGGAGAAAACTGAAAAGACCAGTTTGCCCTTGTCTTTCACATTCTTCAATAACATTCCATTCCAGAATCACACTCCATTCTTTGCTCTACTTATCCAGTTACCCAAGGCCTACAGTCAGGCCCATAGAGAATCTACTTTCCAATTCTCAATTTCACGTCAAATGTCGAAACCGGCGACAACATCGCCGACGCCGGCATCTTCAACGACAATAAAGCCGGAAGATTACTCTCATAGCCCTGTACATTACGCTGTCGTTTTAGGCGATCACTCTACTCTAAGCAGACTTGTCGCTTCTGTTCCTCGACTCGCCGATCCAACTCAGATAAACACCGAGTCCCACTCGCTTTCCCAGGAACGAATTGCTGATCAAATCTCCGCCGTCCTTGACCGCCGTGACAATCCTAACCGTGAAACTCCATTACACCTCGCCGTCCGTTTGAATGACGTGTACGCTGCTCGGACTCTTGCTGCCGCCGGCGCCGACATTTCGCTTCAGAATGCTGCTGGTTGGAATCCTCTACAGGAAGCCATTATGCGGAGATGCTCCGATGTCGTTTCGGTTCTCGTCCAGCATCATCATTTAGGTGCTTGGTCCAAGTGGCGCCGACGTCTTCCTCGTCTTGTGGCTGTTCTTCGCAGAATGCGTGACTTTTACATGGAGATTTCGTTCCATTTCGAGAGTTCTATTGTTCCGTTTGTCGGAAAAATCGCGCCCTCTGATACGTATAAGATCTGGAAACGCGACGGCAATCTCCGAGCAGATACTTCCTTAGCAGGGTACGACGGCTTGAAAATTCAGCGAGCTAATCAGAGTTTTCTCTTTCTGGGTGACGGTGATCGGAATTTCGATATTCCGGCTGGTGCTTTGCTAGTTTTGAACCACGACGAGCGTAAAATTTATGATGCTTTTGAGAATGCTGGTGCTCCGTTGAGCGATTCCGACGTTGCGAGTTTCTGTAATCAAACAAGTGTGTATCGTCCTGGAATGGACGTGACAAAATCGGCACTAGTCGGTCGTACGAATTGGAGAGGGCAAGACAAAATGGAGAACGTCTGTGAATGGAAAGGTAGGGTTTACGATGTGCACAATGTTGTTTTCAGCTTCCGATCACGGAAAATCACCGGAGCTGAAAGCGAACAAATTTTGCCATTAGACTTGGAACTCGAAGAGGATTCTGAAGAAGGTTTCCTCGTAGCAGAGAATCCACGATTTAGCGTCTCCACTCGCCCATCCGCTGCCGGGGAAGGTAACAGACAAAGACGTCACAGCAGTTTCATTCGAGAGGAGAGAGAGTTCGTTACCGTATCCAGAAAGAGTGTCGACATTATTCCGGAACCACGGCGGAGAACGGCGGCGATACCGGTTGCACCACCACCGAATACAAAGGAGAAAGAGTATGTGAAGTGTCTGAAACCGTCGGTTTGGTTAACGGAGCAGTTCCCCTTGAAGACGGAGGAGTTACTGCCGTTACTTGACATATTAGCGAACAAAGTCAAAGCCGTCAGACGAATGAGAGAGCTGTTAACGACCAAGTTCCCTCCGGGGACATTTCCAGTAAAGGTAAGGGGTATACTTGGTATTTCCTCCTAAATTCTCAGGTCCCACGAGATTCTCATTTCTTCTGATGAAGCTTTGATTATGCGCATCAGTTTTTGCTCTTTAATTCTTCTTTTCATGCACAAGCTAATCACCTTAGCTGGTCTGTTTTAGCTTCAGCTTCTGTCACACTTTTCCTAGTGTTTAACGCAAAGAACCTTCCTGGGACCCATTTTAGTGACAAAGGAGTATTTTAACGGGTTATTGTGGGTCCAGATTTAATCCTAGGATTTGGCAACAAAAATTTGTTTTTGGACCTACTTTATTTTGTAACTTTTTGAATTAAGTTATTTGGTTTGATGTAAAATTATATCTTAGTTCTTCGACTTGGTTTGTTTTGAAAACTTATCACCTGCTTACCATATACTATTAATAACTTAAGTATACTATGCAAATTAATAAGTTTAGTACATGCATGGGATATTTTCTTTTTAATAATTTAGTGTTTCACATTACTGTTGTACTAACTGCTGGTGCTTTTCGATCTCACCTATACTTGCATCAGCCATCAATGGTTGAGCCGTTACACATGGATAAAGTATGATCTAGGACAGGGCATTTCTTTTACTATAAATGCAAATTTATTATACCTGTACTTTTTTTTGTATTTTTCATAATTATACATACAGAGTGTGAGTGTATCCACCATTCTACACTTGCGTCTGCCACCAGTTGTTGGGAAAAGCAGTTTCATAAGGGACCCTGCTTAATTCTTTGTGAATTGTGGACCAACCTGTTCCTTACGCTTTGATTTGAATGTGTATCTGTCTGTGTTTTAACTTTTTGATCTAACGGCAATTATTTTGTTGTGGGTACAGTTGGCTATACCGGTGGTCCCTACAGTGAGGGTGGTAATAACATTCACGAAATTTGTCGAACTACAACCAATTGAACAGTTCTACACTCCATTTTCAAGTCCGAGCCACCTTCTTAATGGTGGTGAGGATGAAAGTTCAGGCAGTAATTACCGTTCATTTCCATCATCGTCGTCTTCATCATCATCATCGTGGCTGTCGAGGAGCAATAGCCGATCGTGCTCTTCGAGCAAGCAGCCGCTACAGAGTTGTAATGGAGCACAACAGGCAGATCCATTTGCAATACCTGGTGGATATAGTTGGAGTAGTTTTGATGAGAAGAATAGGAAAATGAAGAAATCTAAGTCTACTAGGAGAAGCAAGTGAATGTCTTTACTAATTCTTTTACCATATGAATATGACCAGCTGCTCTGTTTCTATTACTTCTGGTCTCTAATATAGTTTGTGATACGAGGGAGGCTCTAATCTTGAATTTCCTTAACACGTAATCTTAGTTTCTTAATTCTCATTCTTTTTCCTTGGATCGTCTATTTGCTATTCAGTTTTTTGAGTTTTCTCAGTCCAAGCTTAACTAATAGTAGTAGAAGAATAAAAAGGATCTTATATAGATTCATCCCATCTTTACAATAACAGTTTATTGAATGGAAATATGTGAAAACTCTACTAGTTTGACCTTTTGTATAACGAAGATGTTTTGAAGGAAAAAGCTGTAAAGAAAGATCATTCAAAAAGCTGTATTTCTGATCAAATAAGAGTGGCGTAGGAGTAGAAGGCGTGCAATATTATTGTGGGGTTTGGAGTTTTGCAATGTGACACAATGCCATGTTAGAAGGGGTATTGTGGGGTTGTGGATATTATAGTTGTTGCTCAAAGCAAAGACATTATTTGTTTTTCCGACAAAGCCACGATATTTTGACTTGTGTATAATTTTCAATAATTAGCTACTACCACATGAAGGGGGAAAATTATAACTAAGAAGTCAAAATTAAGTGAAAACTGGATATGCTAGAGCCTAGAGGTTAAATTTTTTCTCCCATATCTCTGGCTTTGTGCATTTAATCATTTTGACATCATTGTCAGGCCCCTTTTTCCTCTGCCTCTTAAACCAAGAGGGTTGTCTCTTAGTTTTTTCTTGCTGTCGCTCTAAATTTATACTCCCTTCGGTCCAAAATAAGTGATTTTTTGGTTGTTTTCACACATATTAAGAAACTCACCTTTTAAAATTAATTAGCATTGCAATTGACTATATTAACCTTTACTATCTCTTCACATAAACACTCCTAACACATACTCCAACATTATTTACTCCAAGGGCAATGTAGGAAAAAAGTAATTAATTCATTCTTGAAGTCTGAAAAAATCACTTATTTTGGACCACAAATAAAAGGCCAAAAAATCACTTATTGTGAACCGGAGGGAGTAACGTTCTCACGATTCTATCATATCATGTTATTTTTTATTATCTTTTTTCGTTTTTACTTGGAAAAGTTTCACAAAGAGTTCGTTCTAATAACTACTGTTACGCGGCGCCTTCCTGAGATTCCTTGGAAGGGCGACGTAAGGCTAGGCAACTGATGTCAGTGCAGTTGCTGTCCGCCAACTGAGGTCCCCTCCGTACGCTAGACGAGATTGTCAGTGCCGTACGGGAAAACCAATGTCAAGAGCAATTGAGAGAACAGAAATGAGAATTCAGAATGAAAGAAAGCTTGATTGCATTAATGAAAGCTATTACAGAAAAGCAATGCGGTGTCGAGGGGGAGAGACACCAGTACAGAGAATTGCTTGCTTGCTAGAAAGTTTTGATTGCTTGATCCCCCCTAATAGTACTTAAAAAAAATAATCCAAAGTTACAAGACTAGACTTGACTAAGCTAGAGAAACATAATGGAAGTACATGAAATAAAACTACTCTATATTTACAATGAAAATGACTTAGTTTTCTATAAGGCAGCAGCAGGTCCTTTGTCAGCAGCAGTGTCTTTGGCATCACGGTCTGCGCGCGCGGCGTTGTCTGCGCGCGCGGCGTTGTCTGCGCGCGCGGCGCTGTTGGCTTCTGCCTGCGGCTTGGCGCTCGCGAGGGATATCGGTGGGGCGACAGAGGCACCTGCGCGCTTGTCACTTGGCGCGGCCAAGACCACGGGGCCGTCCGTGGCGCTAGGCATTGGGAGGTTTGCTAGGACGCCACGGGGCGCGCCTAAGGGGTCATGGGGCATGGCTGGAAAGCCGCCCATGACATTCTCCCCCACCTGAGTTGGCGACGTCCTCGGCGCCTTACTTGCAAAATAATCTTCAATGAGGCTCTTGTAGGCTTTGAGGTTTGTTCCCCTCTCCCAAGTATTCTCTTCTGCATCACAGCCCTGCCATTTCACCAAAAACTATTGGTGATCTTTCCTTGAGGCATGAATCACTCTGTCATCAAGGATAGCTTCAACACGCCTTTTCCCGGTTGAATTGGGACCTCGAATACTGGGTATTGTGAGCTGGCTCCTTGAAGGATCCTCCGTGTCTTCCCGAAAAGGTTTCAGGAGACTGACATGGAAGACAGGATAAATTTTCCACCAAGCTGGGGTATCTACCCGGTATGCAACCTTCCCAATACGCTTTTCAATGGACAAGGGTCCAATGTATTTTTGCAATAGGCGAGGGTCATGGACCCCTGCAAATAAGTACCGCTTTGGAATTTTGACCATCACTTTGTCTCCTACTTGATATTCAACAAAGCGACGATTCTGATCAGCATGCCTCTTCATCCGCTTTTGGGCTTTGACAAGATAGCTCCGCACTATCTCCAAATTCCGCCTCCACTCTTTTGAGAAGCTGGCAGCTCGAGGAGATTTAGCCATGTTTGGTGCATTCACAGTGTGTGGGAGTAGCGGTTGCTGTCCGGTAACAATTTCAAAAGCGCTTTTGTTGGTACTAGAGCTCTTTTGTGAATTGAAACACAGTTGAGCAGCATCCAGAAGCTTCACCCAATTCTTCTGCGATCCGGTTACAAAGTGGCGGAGATATTCCTCCAACATACCATTGAACCGCTCCGTCTGGCCATCAGATTGCGGATGAAAACTTGAGCTGTGACTCAATTTTGACCTAAGGCACTTGAAGAGTTGGGTCCAAAAGTTGCTAGTGAAGCGTGAGTCGCGGTCACTAACAATGTCTTTGGGCAGGCCCCAATATTTGACGACATGAGAGAAGAAGAGTCGAGCTGTATCTTCTGCTGATATATATTGTGGGGCTGCAATAAAGGTGGCATACTTGGAAAACCGGTCCACCACAACCAAGATGGTTGTCAGATCTCCGACCTTGGGCAATCCAGTGATGAAATCCAGGGAAACGCTTTCCCAAGGTCTCTTTGGGACAGCGAGTGGTTCCAAGAGTCCCGCTTGTGTCAAGCGGTCCGACTTGTCCTTCTGGCATACTAGATAAGTCTTCACATACTGAGCGACATCATCGGCCATTTGAGGCTAATAATAGGCACGACGAAGTAACGCCATGGTGCGTTCTTCACCGGGATGGCCGGCCCACAGAGTATCATGACATTCCGCTAGAAGAGTCCTCCGCAAATCTCCTCCTTTAGGAACATAAAGTCGGTTTCCTTTTACTTTCAGAAAACCATCTTCCATGTAGAACTGGCGAGTCTTGCCCTGTCCTACCAAATCAACCAAATACTGAGCAGCAGGATCCTTGATGAGTAGATCTCGTATTTGGTTCTTGATGGATGTGGCTACTTCGCTCCCCCTTAGGGTGGCGAGTAGGCACACCGATGCTAGATCAGCTCTCCGACTGAGCGCATCAGCAACATGATTGGTCTTTCCACTGCGATACTCCAAGTTGAAGTGGAATTCAGCTAGGAATTCCTGCCACCTGGCCTGTCGACCGTTCAGCTTCGGCTGGGTCATGAAATGGCTAACAGCTGTGTTGTCTGTCTTGACCACGAACGGGGTTCCCAGCAGATAGTGCCTCCAGAGGCGCAAGCAGTGGACGACAGCCAATAATTCTTTCTCATGGGCGGCATAGCACCGCTCTGCATCCTTCAGCTTCCTCAACAGCATCGAAATACTGTTCGACGTCAAAGATGAAGTTTTCCACTTCCTTGGCATTCCTAGCTCCACTGTATGGCTTTGGCTCAGGAATTTCAGCTTCTTTGTCGCGGAAGCGGAGTTCACAGCACCTCCGATTTGGTTTCCACCTCCTCGGAGTAGGCCCTGTAAAGCAGCGTTGACAACATTGAGTTGGTCTGTCAATTTGTCAATGGTTTGTTGCATGGCAGTCACCTTTTCTGCCTCTTGTGCCCTGTGGGCTAAATCCTCGGTGCGCTCCTGTTGGAGCCCCTCGAATTTCTCAAAGATTTCGGCTGCCTCTGTGGCTGCCGTCTGCCGGTCTCCCTCGGAGTCGCGACTGATGTTTTCAACGTCAACTTCGACCTGAAGCACCCTGCGGTCCAGGTCGTCCAACCTTTGCAGTAGGCTGGTTCTTAGTTCAGGCACCGTATCCATAATAGGCCGCAATACCTCAACCGTCCCTTCGAGGGCCGCAATGCGTTCCCCATGATTCACCATGGTCAGAAATGGTGGTATGTCAATACGTTCCCTCGTCCGATGTCGAGCCTAGGCTCTAATACCAACTGTTACGCGGCGCCTTCCTGAGATTCCTTGGAAGGGCGACGTAAGGCTAGGCAACTGATGTCAGTGCAGTTTCTGTCCGCCAACTGAGGTCCCCTCCGTACGCTAGACGAGATTGTCAGTGCCGTACGGGAAAACCAATGTCAAGAGCAATTGAGAGAACAGAAATGAGAATTCAGAATGAAAGAAAGCTTGATTGCATTAATGAAAGCTATTAGAGAAAAGCAACACGGTGTCGAGGGGGAGAGACACCAGTACAGAGAATTGCTTGCTTGCTAGAAAGTTTTGATTGCTTGATCCCCCCTAATAGTACTTAAAAAAAATAATCCAAAGTTACAAGACTAGACTTGACTAAGCTAGAGAAACATAATGGAAGTACATGAAATAAAACTACTCTATATTTACAATGAAAATGACTTAGTTTTTTATAAGGCAGCAGCAGGTCCGTTGTCAGCAGCAGTGTCTTTGGCATCACGGTCTGCGCGCGCGGCGTTGTCTGCGCGCACGGCGCTGTTGGCTTCTGCCTGCGGCTTGGCGCTCGCGAGGGATATCGGTGGGGCGACAGAGGCACCGTGCGCGCTTGTCACTTGGCGCGGCCAAGGACCA